GGCTTCTCCGGCAGGTGCCCCAGGAGGAGTGTTTCCTGGTGCCTCTCGCCTTCCTTTGTTTTGAGCCGGTGGTGAGGCCGGGCGCCCGCCCTCTGGGAAGACCCCGCGGCCTCCGAGTGGGTTCGTTTCCCCCAAACAGCCCCCAGTCGGGAGTGGAGGGGCACTGATGTGACCGTCCTGGAGGGAATCCTTCCATGAAGGGGAAGGAAAAGAGGAAATTAGGTTTTTCTGCTGGGTTTTCCACGGAAGGGTGTTGGTTGCCCCGCGGTTCCATAATCTACCCTGACGGCCTAGTGAAAAAGGCTTCTCCTTTCCAAGTGAGATTTATACAGGGAGCCAGTGCCTCTGAGTGGCTTGACTAACCAGTGGGAGTGAGAAGTGAAGCCGCGCCTGAACAGCCCGGGGGAAGGCCAATAGGAAGCCACCGCGGGGAGGGGGAGGGAACGATGTCGCACCCGCTCGCTCCGCCTCTTTCAGCCCTATTTCAAGAAAGTGACAGGCGTCCCAACACCACCAGACACTGTGCCCGGGAAGTTCTACCATGGTTTCCACTCTGTGGGAAAGGAAGCCTTCAAACTGCGCTTCCCTCCCGAGGCCTGAAATGCGGGGGAGGGTCCGCGGCGCCCCACCCCTGAGCCTGGGGGGCGCGTGTGGGAAAGCTGGCACCACAGGACCCATCCACCAATAGTTAACCCCTTACTCCCGTCCTGGCAACTGACAAGTCCTCAGAACAGAGGACTCATCTCTGGCTCTCTGGCCTCCTGGCCTTAGGCCACGGGGCCTCTGGTCTCTGTGTCCTTGCCTTTAATTTTTCTAAATTTTCACATTCACTTAACATTCAATAATATAACAGTTTGAGCTGTAAACCTCTGCGGTAGACATTCACGTAACTCATTAAATAACCTTCCCAATACACCTAGTACCCACCTGACGCCCTATGTGGTCAGGGCAAGAAGAGCGACGGTTCCCCCGTCTGTGTTGTACACCCGCTAACAGATGATGTGCGACAGCCATCGTATTTCCGCTGACTTGGGTGGGAGGTGTCAGAGGGGCTGAGGAGGGTTCGTGCAGACGTGATGAAGCGCACAGTAGGGCAACCTCCAAACATCTCCCCGTAAATGACTAATGATTGACAGACACCAAATGGTGAGTGTGTGAAGGGGAGACCTGGCCGTCACCAACCTGGGGAGTCACAGGATGAGCGTCCCCGCTGTCGGGACAGGTGGTGTAGTGACCAGTCCTAGTTCTTTCCTCCTCCACAGCCCCGGCTCCCTTGGGGCCGCAGCTGCGCTCACGGTTGTAAATGGTTTTCACGGCATCACCTTCCAATCTGTCTCCAGCCCAGGCACTTCTCCTAAAGGTCCCCAGACTCATCCGTCCAACCTGACACCTCAGTGCTGTTTGTAACAGACATGTCACCTTGCCCTTCTCTTCAGCCGGACGCTTGCAATGCCCGCCCCTCCCCCACACAGGCCCCTGCCCGCAGCGTCTCCCCCATCTCTGCTGAGAGAGCCCGGCCTTCCTGCTGCCACAGTACCATGTGGTCCCCCTGTCACATGGCACACATTCTGTCCGTCCCCGGTTGGTTCCATACCTCTTTGTATATTAAGGAACTTCAAGTTTCTTAAAATGGCTTAATAAATGGAGTGAAGGTGTAGATAGACTAACACTTGTTAGAAGGCATACACCTTGGAGCTTTTAATCTAAATCATGGCTGATTATATATATATATATATATATATATATATATATATATATACACACACACACACACACATAGATGTGTGTGTGTATATATATAATTTCAAAATAAATCTTGTTGTAACTAATAACATTATACATAGGCAAAGTCACCCCGTGTCTCTCCTTGCTCTTCACTGTCCCTCTCTAAGTCACAGCCCTCCCAGCCCCTCGGGCCTGCGGGGCGCGGCCGGCATCTGACCTCCAAGGACCCTGCTGCAGCCACGCGGGGGCCTCCCGGCTGTTCCCAAGCCGCGCACACAGGCTCCTCCCCAGGCGTCCGCGCGGGAGGGCCCTGCCTGGAAGGGACCTGTCCCAGACGTCCTCCTGGGCAATCACTCGTGTCCTCTCCTCTTACCACCGGGGGTCACCTTCCTGTGAGGCCCCCGCTGTCCCCCCATCTCTAACAGGCCCCTCCCCTCCCGACGCACCCCCGTGCAGCCTCTTCTCCCCAGCACCTCCCGCCTTCTCACGGAGAGTCTGTCCTTACTGCCTGTGCTCGCAGGATACAGTCGTTTCTAAGCAACACAAGTTGTGCTCTGTAGGCTGGCCGTTGGGACTGTTCTTGCTCCCCAATGCACAGCCCTGCTGCGTTGTATCGCCTCAAGACGTCGTATCTTTTTAATCCTTAAGCAAAGCTATGTTCTTACTTTTTAGAGAGGAAGAAAGGGGGAGAGCAACAGTACGGTGAAAGAAACACCAAGTACTTGCCTCCCGCCGGCGCCCCCGTGAGAAACGGGCCCCGCCGCCCAGGCGCCTGCCCGGAACCGTCCCCCGCCTGCGGCCTTCCCGTGCGCAGAGCGGCCTTCCAACCGGCACAGCCCCCGGCCAGGGCCGCGGCTTTTTCAAAAACTGAAGTGACCGTTTTCCACCAGCAAAACGAACAATTCGCTAAAAGCTCGATGAGAGTTAGCGTTTTTTACCAGTGAAGTCTGTTTCAATGAAGGTATGCGCATCGCTCTTAAGACACAATACCTTGGGAGACTTGAGAGACTACTGTGCAGTGTAAGCCTTTTGTGCTCACAGGGAAACCGAAAAGTTTGTGACTCACTTTATTACAGTGTTTGCTTTATTGGGGTGGGCTGGGTCCGAACCCAAATATCCCCAGGGCACGACTGAGTTCCAGGTGGAAAGATGGTGTGTCATCTGCCCCGTACTCAGTGCGCACGCATGAAGTCCTTCGTCCTGCGGACCCCTCCCTATTTAGTGACGGTGTCTTCCTGGATGTGGCGTCAGCCCCCAGCGGTCCCGGGCCGGACAGCACAGGGGCCCTCACGCGGCCACCGATGCGCCCACCCCCACGGGGCTGTCCCCGAGACCCACCGCGGCCGCCCCTCCGTGGGTCCCCGCGTTCGCTCCGGGGCCCGCACGGGAGCCAAGGCCGGGGAGACGGGCCGAGCGGAGCATGGTTCCCGCGGGAGCGGGTCTGAGCGGAGCCGGCAGGGGCCTGCTCTCTGCTAATTCCAGGGCCCGGCGGCTCTGCGGGCTGGGAAGGGGGGAGGGACAGTCCACCCCGCGAGGCAGGAGCCGGGGGAGCCTGAGACTCCTCCTGTCGATACCAGAGATTCCTGTGAGCGGGGGCCACCCCGGGCCTTGTGGGGACAGTGACAGGCAGAATGGCTCCTGTTGCTGTCAGAGGGGGGACACCCAGAGGAGAAGGAGGGGAAAACTCAGGCACCCACGCCACTCGGCCAGAAGGAAAGACGCAATAGTGGCATTTGTGACAGCGCGGGTGGGCCTTGGGAATATGATGCTGCGTGAAATAAGTCAGACAGAAACGAGAAGCACGTGATTTCACGCGCATGTGGGACATAAAACTGGGGCTCAGGACACAGGCAACAAAACGGTGGCTCCCAGAGGGACGGGCGTGGGGGAGGAGGGGCTCCTACTCGGCCTCGGAAGTTAGTTTGTCTTTGGAAGGCGGGCGGCGGGCACACAGTGCGACAGACAGACCCTGTATCATGCAAATGCCCGCCTGCCACCTGTGTGATCTTATAAATCAATGCCACCCCGATACATTTAATGAAGACACACCCCTATCATTTTATATCTACACCCCAATAACTTTATTCTTAAAAACACAGAAGAAGCATAATATTTACAAAAACAAAGAAACAATAAGTACCCAAAAGATAGGCGCCGTGGGCCAGACCCAAGCCTGAGCCCAGGCTGACGCGGCCCCATGAAGGCCTCACTGAGCTCAGTCCTGGAGCCACAACAAGGCCCAGGAGACATTCAAGTCCCTGTGTCCCAAGTCCTGGTGGAAAAAGGTTCTCCTGAAGCAGCGAGGACAAATGAGCAACAAATGTGACCCAGCTGCGTAATGAGCAGAATGGGGATGGCCTCACCTCAACTCTGCTGGGACAGGACGGTCCCCAGGGGAGAGGACACAGGTCCCTGTGGGGAGGGCGGCCTGGTGGCCATTTCCTCACATGACGCTGATAACGGTGCAGACACGATCTGATGCCAGTTGCAGAAACAGCAGTTGGGGATCCTCAAAGGCCCGGGGGGAGGCTGCGGTGACTATTTTAGCAGCAAGTCCCACACAAGGCAGCTCTGTCACGCTGGGAAAGAACGTTGTCATCAACAAATTCAGGTCCTTTTCAGAAGTGTCACATGCTCCCACAGCCACCGCAGGCTCAGCACGTCCCACTCGGAGGATCCCCCAAACCCGGCGGTGCCCCTCGGGCCCAGTGCCCCCGCGTCCTGCCCTCAGGGTCTCACCATCAGCAGCTGTGACAGACACATCAGAGTCCTGGGCACTGTCTCCGCCTGGGGAAGGACACAGCAGCACAGTCACGGGGTGGGGAGCCCCCCCCTAGACTCCAGCCCACACGCTCCCCAGGGTCCCAGACGTCCCCTCCCGACACCCAGACTTACAGGCAGCCTGAGCGTAGAGCTTCCCGCCTCTGCCTGTGGGAAGCAAACGCTCTGTGAGGAGTCGGGGGCTGGGTCCCATGACCCTAAAGGAGCCCCACACTCCTGAATCGCAGGAAGTTTCCAGATTTGTGACGGAGCTTCAGGATAAGATCAGGAAATACGAGGAAAGCACATGTGCAAGGACAGGACCTACCACCCCTCTGGACGTCTGTCCTCAGCAGGGACCTTCCCCTCTGACCTGTGACAGCTGGGAATCCGTCCCCATCGCTAGAGTCATCAGGTGATGAATTTGTCCCTCAGTTTCCCACGGGCCTCACTGAAGGGTCAGTGTTGGCAAACAGGCCCCCGATGGGCAGCACCCGCGTGGGTACGATGTCCACTCACGAGGCAAAGCACACGGCCACCTGGGCCTGACCCCCAGGGGGACAGGGACCTCGGCCCCACCCATGCCCACCTGAGCGCTTCCTCCTCCACGTCACAGCCACAGCGACCGCAGCAACAAGGAGACCCAGGGCAGCAGCGATGCCCACGAAGGGGACGGTGGTCCCAGGAGGGGGGTCTGCGAGGGGAGGCGAGAGGCCACCCTCAGGCCTGAGTCCTGACCCCGCTCAGGGACGCCCTGAGGAGAGGCTCTGTGCCCACGCCCCCCCCTCACCCCATCGCAGGGTCTGGGGCTCGGGCAGCCCCGCGTGCTCCACGCGGCACGTGTAGCTCTGCTCCTGTCCAGGGGGCACGGCCACGGCCGCCCACGTCTGGAAGGTCCCGTCCCCCGCAGGCCTGGTCTCCACAGCCTCCATGTCCTGGGTCAGGTCCTCCCCGTCACGCTGCCAGGTCAGGGTGATGTCCGCGGGGTAGAAGCCCAGGGCCCAGCACCTCAGGGTCACCTCACGGTCAGAGATGGGATGGCGGGTCACGTGTGTCTTTGGAGGGTCTGAGGGGAGGGGTGAGAACATTCAGGAACTTTGAATGCTCAGGGATCTCTGCAGCAGAGCACCTGCCAGACACCAGCCTGGACAGAAGAGTCATCTGGGGTAATCTCCTATTTTTTGGAAAGTTCCATAAACAGAGTGAGAACCTAAGTTAGAAGTCTCTAGGTCTCTAAGTGGAGACACAGACTCAGGTGGAAGCTGTTTTTCTCAGAAAAGCCGCAGTCAGGCCTCCAGAGATGGGCTCATCCCGGGGACCAGGGAGCGCGTCCTGGGCACCAGGTGGCTGCAGGGTGTGAAGGAGCCGCTGTGGCTGTTCCAGGGTGAGGCTGGATCTCTCATTGTCCTTAGAAAAAGCTGGGCCCACGGGGGAGTCACAGAAGGAAACCTGGGGGCTCCTCCGTCTCCGGAGCAGGAGGCGGATTCCGACACTGACCACCTCCCTCGTCTCCCTGCAGGAGCCGCCCGAGCCCGCAGACCCCTCCCGGGGGGGGGGGGGCCGCGCCCGGTACCTGCTCGGAGCAGCGTCTCCTTCCCCTTCTCCAAGTATTTGTGGAGCCGGCGCACGCACGTGTCCTCCAGGTAGGCCCTCCTGACGTCCGCATCAGGGACCTGCACCAAGTCGGGCCAGGTGACCTGGGCCGCCGTGTCGGCCGCGGTCCAGGAGCGCAGGTCCTCGTTCAGGGCGATGTAGTCGGCGCCGTCGTAGGCGAACTGACTGTATCCGCGGAGGAAGCGCCCGTCGGAGCCCACGAAGCAGCCCCGCATTTCCTGGAAGGTGTGAGACCCTGACCCCGCCCGAGGTCAGCCCCGCCTGCAGAGCCCCTCCCCGCTACCACTCGTCCGGACCTGATGGGGGTGATCCAGCCCAAACTCAAAATCAAATCGGATCAAAATCCCCGCGTGCTCCTGCCGGGTTGGGAGCAGGCAGGTCCCGCGGCCTCCGGGGAACGCTCAGGCTGGAAACTGGGGACAACAACGGCCCGTCCGGGGGGGTGGGGGTCGTGCCCGGACCCGGGGCGCGCGGCTCACCGAACTCGCTCTGGTTGTAGTGGGCGCGCAGCGTATTCACGTTCCCTTCCTTAATCTGTGCTTCGCGTTGGCAAAGTCCGGTCCGCTGATTCCAATAGTCCGGCACCTCCTGCTCCAGCCACGGCTGCTCCAGCCACGGCACCCGCGGCTCCAGCCTCGGGTTCGGGGCGTCGCTGTCGAACCGCATGATCTCCGTGTCGTCCACGTAGGTGACGCCGATGAACCGGGCTTTCCCGCGGCCCGGCCGGGACACGGCGGTGGTGAAAATTCTCATGCTGTGGGGGCCTGGGGTCGGGGAGGGCGCGAATTTTGGGCCGGCGGTCGGGCCGGTCAGGGTGGGGGTCCCGGAAGGCTGATCAGGGGGCGGCGGCTGAGAGGAAGCGGGGGCAGGGGGAGGGACGGAGGGGAGCCTGCAGCCGGGGGCCTGGCGTCTGGGCTGAGGGCGGTGCAGACGCGCCCTACCAGGCCCGGGGCCCCGCCGGGTCCCCGCGCTCCCGCCCCGCAGAGGCCGTCCCCTCCCGACCGCGCACGCACCGGCCCAGGTCGCGGGCAGCGCCAGGGCCCCCGAGAGCAGCAGGAGCAGCGGTCCGGGCGCCATGGCCCCCTCCTGTGGGTTTGGGAAGTAAGGGTTCCTGTGGTCCTCGGGTGTGGCTGCCGGATCGCCATGTTTCTGATTGGCTGCTCCAGAGCCGGACACCCAATGGGAGTGAGCACTGGAGAAGCGTCAGGCGTATCCAGGATGTGGGTCTTGAAGGAGGTTGCGAGAGACAGGGAGCTCCCCGTGAGCCAGGCCTCGGGCCCCGGGGCCTCGGCCCGGAGCCCCGCTCCCGCGCGGAGAGCTCTCTGTCCTGGGTCTCCCCGAGTCCCGGCCCGCCGGCTGTTTTACTCAGCGACGCTCAAACCTTTTGGTTTCAGAACATCCGTACGTTCTTACAAAATAAGGAGGACTCCCCAAAATAATTTTGTTTGTAGGGGTCATAGCTACCAATTTACCAGGCAAAGAATAAAGGAGTTGGAAAACTTCATTTAGAATAACATCACGAAACTGTGATGCGTTACCAGAAATAACGTTTTAATGAAAGGTAACTATTTTCAAACCGACAAGTAGTTGATTTGTGAGAAGAGTGGATCTCTTACATTTTACATCTGCCCAAGTCTCAGTTCTTGTCGGTAACATTAGAAGTCCGCTGGATTTTCATATTTGCTTCTGCGTTTAACCTGTTATTTTGGTTGGAGTAGATGAAAAATCTACAGCCTCACACAATATGTGAGGTAGAGGACTCTTAATAACTTTTTTAGATGGGTGTGGACATTCATCTGTGATTGGACACTAAAGCTACCCCAGTGGCAGTGTTGGAAACGCTCTTTGCAAAGTGAATCCTGAAACAATACCATTCAGTATTTCCTATTCTGCTACGTTGCTTGAGTGGCTCTTGCACTAATGCAAAATTATTTAAAAGTGATACCTTGCTTCATTAAGTGATTTATTCAGCATTTAATTACACAAACTCAAAAAGATCACATTTGTTAACGTTCCCGCAGGTCCCGCTGGAAACATCTGTCAGCTGTAGGAAGCTGTCTGGTTACTGGTGAGACCCAAGTTTTCCAAAATCCAGGTTTTCCCCTGAGAGCTTCCATTTTATCAAGACAACAAGTGCTGTCAGTTGTCAACTGTCAGTTGACAAAAAACTGACATTTTTTGAGGGAGAGGCTCACGTTGATTTTTGAGAAAGTGTTCTCTGGGTCACCCACCCTCAGTCACCACAGTTCCTGTGTCGCTCACTCTCTTAAGTGGACAGGCTGCTCCATAAGGAGAGGCTGGCTCAGCCCACGCGGGCCACTTCCCTGGGCTCGTGACCCGGGAATGTCACAGAAGTGCGTTGGTGCATTTTCCCGGTCATCATGGGAGATACATTTATTTTCCTCCATTTTCATGCAGGACAGTTAAGAAATTAATCTATTTGTATCATGAATGGATGATACATTTACCTTCTTTTTAAATATGTTTTATTTTTGAATTACAGTAGATGTACAGTATTATAGCATTTTCACGTGTACAACTCTGTGGTTAGACATTTATGTGTCTTACAAAGTGACCCCCTCAATAAGTCTCACACCCACCTGACACCGTGTGCAGTTGTTACAATGTTGCTGGATACATTCCCGGTGCTGCACTTGGCATCCCCGCGACGGTTCTGCAACGACCAATCTGTACCTCTGAACCCCTTCACCTTTTTCTTCCAGCCAATCTGTTCCTTGCATCTGTGAGTCTGTTTCAGTTCTGCTTGATTGTTTTTTTTTTTTATGTTTATTTTTTAGATCCCACATGCAAGTGCAATCATCTGGCATTTGTCTTTCTCTGTCTGACTAACTTCACTCAGTACAATGATGTTGTGGCCAATGGCACGATTTCATTCTTCTTTATGCTGAGGCATATTCCATCGTGTATATGCAGCCCCTCCACTTTAACCGTTAATCTACCGAGGGACACGTAGTTTGCTTCCATATCTGTACTTTTGTAAATAAGGCTGAAATGACCAACCAGATGTAGATGTGTTTTCCACGTAGTATTTTGGAATTCTGCAGATACATACCCAGAAGTGGCATGGCCGTGTCCTTCTTCGTCTCTTGTTATATAGCCTTTGATTTAAAGTCTGTGTTGCCTGGCATAAGCGTTCCTACCCCAGCTTTTTTTGTTTGTTTCCATTCTCATGAGATACAGTTTCCAATCCCTGAGCTTTCAGTCTGTGCCTGTAAGGGTCTTATTTTCTTATCCATTCCCCCACCATATGTCTTTCAACTAGAACAATGAATTAATTGCATTTAATTTTTGATAAATATGTATTTATAGCCATGTTATTGTTTACATTTTTTATTTTTCTTCTTAGAGAAGACCCTTTAACATTTCTTGTAATACTGTTTTTGTGGTGTAACCCCTTTTCACTTTTTCTTGTGTGGGAAGTTCTTTATTTGTCCTTTGATTAAAAATGATGCCTTTGCTGAGTAATCTTGCTTGTAGGTCCTTGCTTTTCATCACTTTGAGTATCTCTTGCCAATCTCTTTTGACCCGAACAGTTTCTGTTGCGAAATCAGCAGACAATCTAGCTTACGGGAGCTCCCTTGTAGGTAACTAACCGATTTCATCTTGGCACCTTTAAAATTCTTCGTCTTTAATCTTTGACATATTAATTACGATGTGTCTTGTGTGGGTCTTTTTGGGTTCACCTTGTTTGGGACTCTGTACTTTCTGGACTTGCCTGTCTGCTGCCATCACCATATTCAGGACGTTTCCTGTGGCGTGCATTCTCCCTGGCTGCTGCGGCAAATAAATCGAGCGAAATGGTTGGCCGTAGAGGAGAGGGCCGGAGTCCGAATCTTAACTTGTAGTCCAAGGGTGATCTGTCAGGAGTTTAATAAGTGTATGGATTTGAATGTAACTTTTTCTTTGAGAACATTATTCATGCACGTACAAGAGAATTCAAAAGACACTCAGGAATACACAAAATTAAATAAATCACTTTGTCCCCCTGCCCCCTCAGTCACCTGAGTCCTCTACCTAGAAAACATCACGTGGAGTCACTTCTCATTTCTCGTCCCAGGAAAACATATCTGCACGTAAAATCTGCTATTCTGTCTGTAAAAAGAGCTCAGGCTGCAGACTGGGAGAAAATATTTGCAAATCACTTCCAGGGGTGTCCAGCCTTTTGGTGTCTCTGGGCCACAGTGGAAAAAGAAGAGCTGTCTTGGGCCACACATGAAATATGTTGCAACATGTATTCACACACACAAAAAATCTCATAATGTTTTAAGTAAATTTACAACTTTGTTTGGGCCAATTCACAGCCTTCCTGGGCTGCATGCGGCCTGTGGGCTACAGGTTCGACACCCCTGTAAGATTCTTAACCTCAACAAGAAGGACAGATAGTAACTCAATAAAAGTCCATCAATATTCTAAAGAGACAGCTCACCAAGGAACTCATGCCAGCCCTGGCCGGTGGTTCCTTTGGTTGGAACATCACCGCATGCACCAAAAGGTTGAGAGTGTGACTTTGGGTCAAGGCAAGTACAGGAGGCAACTAATCAATGTCTCTCTCTCTCTCCCCTCCCACCCCCGCTCTCTCTCTCTTTGTGACTCCCTCTTTCAAATCAATAAAACATAGCGTCAGGAGAGGATTAAAAAGAAAAAAGCTTGCTGTAGAACAGTTTGCTTTGTTGTGGCCACAGCAGCCTCCTACACCTTGTATATTCCAGGTCTCTAGATGGCGTCCTTTTCTCCTGTGCTGATTTAATCCCATGTTGTTTGTCCAACAGCGCCCCCTGCAGGCTTGTAGCGGAGAAGCCCAGTCTGGGCCCAGCGGCCCAGGGGAGCGGCAACGGGACCGCCCAGGTGTGAGCGCCTCTGTGCTGTTCGCACAGCGACAGAACCCACACCCGACGTTTCCCAGAGGGGTCACCGTGGTCAGGCGGCACATGAGTGACTGTAAACACATCAAGTAAACATGCTGGACACCATCAGCTTCCACAAGATTGTGTACTAATTCTATTTTAATTTAAAAATAAACTTAATTATGTACAACATTGACATTCAGTGAAGCGTTACTAAACAGTGTAACTAAGAATATTATAGACACCGACATCCACATATTAGATCGTCAAGAGCCACTTCCAACAGCCCATGACCCCAGGAGCCCCAGAGTCCCCAGGCACCCGCAGTGAGGGGCAGGGAGCAGGGGAACGCGCGGCCAACGGGGGGAGGGCTGCGTCCTCCACAGAGGGGGGCCCTCTCGCACAGTGACATAAAGGTAAAAATGGAGTTCAGCACATAGCAGGTGACACAGGGGACCGCCAGCATCAGGACGGAGTGGGCGGCTCTGGTCACTGCGGGGCATTTGTGGCGGCTGCAGGGTGTGAGGTGCTGCAGCCTCTGGTCGTGGCTGCGCAGGGGACGCGCCGTGGAGACGCAGGCCACACTGTGAGGACAATGGGTGTGACATCAGGACATGAGCACAAGATAGCACCCTGGAGACTGGGGACAGAGACGGCCATCACTGAGACAGCCCTCCCGAGCAGCGGGCAGGAGGCAGAGAAAGTGTCCCCTGTTCCCTGGGGAGGAGCTGAGCTTAGCATCACATTGTCATTGGGGTGCAGGGACACTCTGCACCAGGAGCCCCTGTTGCAGTATTTCCTGTTGGGCCCTTTCCTTCAGCTCCTGTTCGCAGAGCTCTGTCCCCAAGTCCCTCACCCTGGTCATCCTGAGTGACCTGGGCTGGCCTTCCTATGTGCTCATGTCCCACAGCTTTTACTGCTCACATCTTCAGGTGGGTTTAGTCTGGGAAACACCCCCAATTGAATCCGCTGTCTCCTTGTTTATGTCCTGCGGGCTCCCTCTGTCCACGTGACCCTAAAGGACAGTGTAATCACCTCTCCATCGCCCACAAGCGCCGAGCTGGAGTCTCTCACTGGACCCGCGTGTCCCCGTGTGTGTGGGTGACTAGCCCTGGAGAGAAGCCGTCCTGGTCCTGCCGACGGGGACGCCCACAGCCAGTGGCTCGGAAACACAGGGACAGGACATTAAAGCTGCTCATGGGCGTTTTCAACCGACAGTAAGAAACGTGCTT